AGCCCCATCATGTCCACCAGCTTAACACTACAACGCTCAACTTGCCCAGAGGGGGGCCGGAAGATTAAGACGCCTCCCGTGGAGGGGGGGCTGGAATATTAGTGTGCCGAAGCAGGGGTGCCGGTATTTTAGGGGGGCCGTTCAATAAGGCCGGCCACCAAACTCGGCGGGGAACTTTCGCCAAATCTTTCAATTGTCGCTAGGACCCCTTCAGTGCAAGCACTGATCGGGGAATGCAGGCTGGAGGCTGGGGTCGGTCCAGGGGCCGCCTCGAGCGGGCCATCCACGGGCGCTTTTGCGCTTAGTGTCGCTGGGACGTGCATCTAGGCTTAAGTCGGGCCTGTCCCTCTACAGGAGGAGTATTCAAACATAGCGTTTGTTTGTTAAGTCAGGGGACGTTTCTTGACTATTTTTGTCACTTTTGGAATATTGTTTGACGATTTTCAAATCTTTCATCCAAAATCCGCTTGTAGGGGGACCTGCCCGACCTGTGTCTAGGCCTCCTAGATGGGGTCGGAATAGATTGGGTCGGAGGATCGCGACGCATCGCCGATGCATCGACGGTACAGCTCGATGTGGAGCCCGAGCTTCTCTACGCGGACGTCGCCGCTGCATCGCTGGTGCATCGCCGATGTATCGCTGGTGCATCGCCGATGCATCGCCGATGCATCGCCGAGGTGTCGGCGATGCGGCGCGACTCTCCGATCCCATCTACTCCGATCCCATCTGAGAGGCCTCTAGTGCACATGTTGAAGTCTCGGCGAGGCCGACGCCGGAAGATCGGAGCACGCAATCTATCAGGTGATGCATTCGGCTGACCATTGCGACTTTGGGAAACTTCCAGGGGGCGCCGAGTTGCAGCCCGGGTGTGCGGTGTGGCATGGTGTTCCACTGTCGTGACGCTGGTGCAGAGTGTGTTTCTGCGACGCTGTCGTCGCCCCCCCCTCTTCTCCGATTCTCGCAGGTTGGTTCCCCACTGGTATCAGCATTGGTTCCCGCGGTCCTGCCCCCCCTCCTCCAGGCGAAAGTCTCTGTTGATTCTGGCGTTCTTTTGGGGATTGGCGGATATGTTCCAATGTGTTTTCGATTGGTGTATATTTTTCTGATTTGTTTTTTTGCAACATTTGGCCAACAGATATACACCAATCCGCAGGGGCAGGTTTCGCGCCTCATTGGTGGAAATTTTGAAGGCGGTTTTCCGGCCCGCGCTGTCACGACCCGCCCGTCTTTTCAGAGCCGTTTCACGCGGGGTGCCGTGCCCCGTTGTTTTTCCCGACGTCTTTGTAGGATCCCGTGCGCAGTGCAGCGCGTTTCACCTTAGTTTTACCTCGCCCTGCCGTAGACAGCCTGCCCGCGCTGGCACCTTAAAAGCGGCAGATCCGCGTGAATGTGGCGTGTGCATTCTTGCATTGTTTCAGCGAAGCGCCTTTCCGGAGTTGAGGGTCAGCAGCAGTGTCTCGGGGCGTTTTTCTCACATGTTCGGGGTAGCGGTGGCCATGCCCCCCAACTTGCGATCGGATTTTACCCCCACCCCCGCCCTCCTCCATTGTCTCTTTCCGTCCGTCTTCTTTCGTTTCGCTCGCTTGCAGCAGGTTCGTCAGTTTGGAGATCGGATACCACGGTGGCTCCAGGGGCATGCTCCACTCCTTTGGTGCCCAGAGGCTGAGACCACGCGGCGATATGATTGCGGAAAACATTCACGTGATCCCGTTACGAGTCGTGATGCCAGTTGCAGGTGTTTCCGCGATGCGTCACAACGCTCGAGCGCGGTTGCAGTTTTGACAGGTTCGGGGGCACTATTTGTGCTGGTCGCTGTCGGAAGGCCTGTGGACCTCGAACGGATATCCAGAACGTGTCACGCCAGAGGCCAAAGGTCAAATGCTTTGCCCTCCGTGCTACGTTGGCCATGTGTCAGCGAGCAAGGAGAGGCGAAGGGCGGCCAGACGCCCAAGAGCGGGCATATGGCGATCAGAGGGGAAAGCTCACGCCCGGCGTTGCCATGGCCCATGCCGTGAGTTGCCCGTCGCTGGCGTGCGGTAACGCTTGCACGCGTCTGCGTGCGGGTGTGCCGCCCCGGTGGGAGCACGGTGATCTCTTAGCTCACGCACGCCCGACGACCTCGGACCCGCTTCACCCTCCTCCTCCTCCTCCTCCTCCTCCTCCTCCTCCTCCTCCTTCTCCTCCTCCTCCTCCTCCTCCTCCTCCTCCTCCTCCTCCTCCTCCTCCTCCTCCCCCTCCTCCTCCTCCTCCTCCTCCCTCCTCCAGAGGCGCAAAAGAGCAGCTGGAGGGGGGGGCAGGACCCGCGGAGGCCCCGGCAGGCACCGCAGAGGAGCACCTCGGGCTGCGAGCCTCGAGCCCGAGGGGGGGAGGGGGGCAGGAGACGGGGAGCCCCTGGGAGGGAGGAGGCCCGCGCCCAGTCCTCCGCCCTCGTCTTACGTCGGGCCTGTCCGCCTCCAGGGGGATCTTCGACGAAAAATTATATAAAAAAAACAAAATAATC